GTTTTGACGCGCTACTGTGATTTCACGAACTAACACAATCTACTTTGATTGTGTTAGTTCGTGATGTGAGCGACGATATGTATATCAAGACTTCATATGCCAACACATAATGTATTTATATACCAAAATGAAGGTATAATAAACTCGTCAGAGAAGATACAATCTGATTACATTTAAATTTAGTAGAAAATGAAGATAAACCATAGGAACAGGTACTTTATTTACCCTAGTTACGAAACTCTTAAAAAAAAGTAATTCAAATTATAATTTACATTCGTACAGACAGTCGACTACAGTACTTTTCATAAATTAGAATGAACATACATAACAAATACATTTTCTAGAAAAATCTTATATTTCAAGAAGAAATCGCTTCAAAGAATAAGAAAATATAATATCAAAGGACCGGGTTAAAAAAAAAAAAAACCACTGCTTTTGTTTTTAACTAATCTTTCAGTTTGTTCTTCTTCATTCCCGGCTGAACACTAACATGCGGCTGTTTCTTCTTCTGTAAAGTGTATATCTTGGTAAATATGGGCATTACCAGTAGGTTTGTATTCCATGTACGTCTGTATGGAGATGTAAAAATATGTAATTTAATGTGGATAAATACCGTACACAATAAGATCATATGCCCATCAAAATAAGCATTTATGAAATAACTGTTTCTGTTCTCAATGAAGTTAATAAGAATCAATTATTGTCAAATATCAAGAGAATTGTTGGAAATGATAATAAAAAAGAGCCAATATTTCCTGACCAAGTTACCTGAAGGTATTTATATTTTTAATTCATTCATTACGACAGCATAAATTGTGTATGTTTATGAGACATTTACGTATTCCTACCGGGCAGATGCAAAAAAAGAAAGGTCAAAATACTTAAACGTGATCCTCCTTAGGTAAATATTTTTATCTACATGCTACTCCTGGAATCTTTTGAAAACTAAAAACAGAAACTGGTTGTTTTTGACATGCCATTTGGCATGAAGAAAATATAGGATAATCAGGTGCGATAAAATTGAAATATGAACGCTTACATCTTGTTTTCTCTTTCCTGTGTCTTCCTCGTTGGCATGCGTCTTCTAAATTTAAATTTATAAATATAAATAGAATTGTTAATACAACTTCAATTACAGTAACTTTTCTGTATTTCTAGTCAGTTATTCTTTATGTTGGTTGTATTAATATTACGTAACGACTTTTGTCTCTTTCTGCCATTTTAAAGTTGGAAGCAGTGGCGGATCCAGGACTTTAAAATAGAGAGGAGAGGGACTTTCACAGATGGAGGATGTATATATACTACTTTAGCCCCACCATGATTGGGACTGATGTAAGAACATTTATGTTTATGGCACCTCTAGATGGCCGGACATGACATTCTTAGACTCAAAATTTACGTAGAATTTTCTTCTTTTTTTTCAATTTTTATTTATTTTAAAAACTTAGAAGGCCCAGGCCAGCATGGCCCCTTCAATCCGCCAATGGGAAGACGGTCGGTGTGGTACATCGAATAAAATAAGAACAAAGGTTGTGACAAACCTGCTTAATTTTTTTGTAGCAGATCAATCCAACTATTACTCCAAAGACTCCAACAAAGGCGCCAACAAAAAATATTCCAATTGTCATAACACTATTAGTACAGGAACAAACTGGAAGGGAACAAAATACTACTGAAACTTACATTGCCCTCTACTTGAATTATAGGCCTAATTGAATTATATCTAATTTGTAATTGATAATCACTTTTGACTGAATAATAACAATAAAATTCCATTAAGACCCGCCCTTTGGACTTCACAAAAGGACAGGGTAAATGTACGTAAACTTGTGCGTTTGAGACAAGCGCGCATTACGGTTGTTAAGTTTGATTGACATTCCAGAAAATTTCCATTATGCTTAACATTGCAAAATATTCTATTGTCGCACGTCGTAATTCAACTGTGCATTTTGCATTAATTCTTTATTGCCGTGTCTTCATTGAACTTTTCTACAATATTAAGTTGTTTTCACAACAGTTTGAATAAAATTTTCCATAAACGCCAGCGGTGAACCCAGGAATTTGAAATAGAGGAGGATCATGAATACTCTTTTACGCCAATACGGACTACCACTTCAGCCCCAAATTGGTTAGAGCTACAATACCAAATTGTATGCATAAGGTCTTTAGATGCCCGGAAATGACAAAAACTTTAGCCCCACCATGATTGGGACTGATGTAAGAACATTTATGTTTATGGCACCTCTAGATGGCCGGACATGACATTCTTAGACTCAAAATTTACGTAGAATTTTCTTCTTTTTTTTCAATTTTTATTTATTTTAAAAACTTAGAAGGCCCAGGCCAGCATGGCCCCTTCAATCCGCCAATGGGAAGACGGTCGGTGTGGTACATCGAATAAAATAAGAACAAAGGTTGTGACAAACCTGCTTAATTTTTTTGTAGCAGATCAATCCAACTATTACTCCAAAGACTCCAACAAAGGCGCCAACAAAAAATATTCCAATTGTCATAACACTATTAGTACAGGAACAAACTGGAAGGGAACAAAATACTACTGAAACTTACATTGCCCTCTACTTGAATTATAGGCCTAATTGAATTATATCTAATTTGTAATTGATAATCACTTTTGACTGAATAATAACAATAAAATTCCATTAAGACCCGCCCTTTGGACTTCACAAAAGGACAGGGTAAATGTACGTAAACTTGTGCGTTTGAGACAAGCGCGCATTAGTTGTTAAGTTTGATTGACATTCCAGAAAATTTCCATTATGCTTAACATTGCAAAATATTCTATTGTCGTACATCCAGATGTTATGCTAATTCAACTGTGAATTTTGCATTAATTCTTTATTGCCGTGTCTTCATTGAACTTTCCTACAATATTAAGTTGTTTTCACAACAGTTTGAATAAAATTTTCCATAAACGCCAGCGGTGAACCCAGGAATTTGAAATAGAGGAAGATCATGAATACTCTTTTACGCCAATACGGACTACCACTTCAGCCCCAAATTGGTTAGAGCTACAATACCAAATTGTATGCATAAGGTCTTTAGATGCCCGGAAATGACAAAAAAAATATATATATATATATTTTTGTATTTATGCCAGAAGGTGCTTATCATTTTCCCTCTTATTAAGAATATGCAGTTAGCATTGAATTAACTCACTTGGGCAATTCAATGCGTCGGAATAATCAAAAGGTATACAGCTGTAGCCCCTTTCAATAACTTCACAAATATTATTATATCCACAGGGATCATCCACACATGGGTCTGTAAAACAAACGAGAGAAAATTTAGAAGGAAAGAAACTAACTACTGATAGAGATACATACAAAGCAATGACAAAACCACGAAGAACAATTTTAGAATGATGAAGTGGATGAAATGGAAAACAAATGATTAAACCGTTTCTATCAAGCAGTTAGGACAGAAATAACATTGATATATCATTATAAGCCTACTTTTGTTACATATACAACGGCGGCGGAACGTGTGGGTGGGAGGTGGGGGTGGGGTGGCATTTCAAAAAGTCCAGTATGCGAGCGAAACGACTCCGGTGCTACGGGTATTTGACGAAGTTTGGTGAATTTTATTAGTTACTTTATAGGCATCAAGCTACTGTAATATGACTTCATAATTGTTGTAATTTATCCAGTGGCGGATTCAGGAATTCGAAATAGAGGGGGCCCAGGGAGGTACTTTTACAGATAGAGGATCAGATAGAGGATACTACCTCAGACCCACCATGGTTGGGGCTGAGGTAAAAAAAAAATTGTGATTATGGCACCTCTAGATGGCCAGAAATTCAACATCCAATCATAAAATTTGAATATAATTTTCTTTATATCTCCATTTTTAAAAAATTGAACAATTTAGGGGGAGGGGGACGGGCCGGCTGGGCCCCCTTGAATCCGCCACTGGGTACCTTCGCAGATGAAGGATCTATACCACCTCAGCCCTGTCATACTTGGGACTGAGGTAAGAAAATTTGTGATTATGGCACCTAAAATTGCATTCTTAGACTTAACATTTTAATATAATTTTCTTATATCTCAATTTAATCAAAATTTTTTAACAATTTAGGCCCCCCATCCCTTGAATCCGCCACTGATTTTCGCCACTGAAGTCGAGATTTCTTCTACGATCTCAATGAATTATTTATCATGAGGGTATCCTTGAATGGGTATTCTCCGACGAAACCTTCACTTTTCCCCCAGTGGATAAAAATGTACCCTTTTATAGTAGCCCGGAAATGATACTCCAACTGAGGGTCCAGGACGTCGAAATAGAGGGAACCCAGGGAGGGTCTTGCGCAAATGGAATGTCCCACTACCTCAGCCTCACAACGGTTGGGTCGGAGGTAAAAAAAAAAAAACTCTGATTATGGCACCTCTAGATGGCCGAAAATGGCACTCTCAGATTATTAAAAGTTAAACACAATTCGTCTGTTTTCTTCATATTTTTTTTTTATAATTTTGAAAAAAAAATAGGAGGTTGGGGCCATGCTGACTGCCCCAACTCCCCAATTGAATTCGCTACTGTTCAATATAACACTTGGCATAGCCAATCATTTTGTTTCAGAAATGACTAATGCCTAATGTCAAACGAAAGAATTTTTTATTCTAAAGACTTTTTTTTATTCAAACAGTTTTTTTCAGCTTATAACACATTAACTACAGTGTAATGTAAATTCTGTAGCTAACTTTCGGAGAACTTTGTTAATCAAAATGGCATAATTAAATATCTTATTGTTTTCGTTAAATTAGATGGAGTTTAAACGTGGTTTACTGTCAATCAGTTACACTTACTGTACATCTCCATGGTAGAATGAAGAGAACTATAGCGTGGCTCCTTAAAGAGTGCCTATCTCCCCAATATGCTTAATTAAGCCTGGTTTCCTGTCGACGTAAGAAGGCAGATTTACTTACGACTACGTCGTTTTATCGTAACAAAAAGCGATTTGACAGGAAACCGATTGCGACTGGTGCGTTGTGAAATCGACGTAACGTAAGGTTAAATCGTCGCAAAGCAATGTTGGCCAGGAAACCGTCGTATTGAATTTTCATGCGATACGTCGATTTTCCACGATTTGACAGGAAACCGCGATTAAGTGACTTATGCTTGAGTGATCATGCTTGCGTTGCCTTGTGTTACGTCTCTTACGAAAGTTGACTCCAAGTCAACTTTCGTAAGAGACGTAGCATTATGGACCAGAAATCGTAAGAAGCAGCCAATCAGATACGGGAATTATGACGTAGCCTATATGACGTACCATGTTTTGACGTGGCTGAAACTGGTCAGATTGTTCTACAGTAGAAAAAATATAGGCCCTATGAAAATTCTGTGTTTCTTGCTTCTTTGAGTAGTCTACCAACACTCCACACAGTTGTGTTTGTTATTATTATTATCATTACTATACTGAAATTGAATTCGAAAATAAACAAGGATTTGTTTCAATTACAATCGTATACCAAGCGAATTGTTTAGAAATAAATCTGTTGTCAACCATTCCTATTTCCAGTCCAGT